AGCAGCTGCTGGGCTTCTTTGAGCAACCTGCACAACTCAATCCAATAAGCTAAGCAATCAGTTACCACTGGTTGATACACAGCTGCAATATACCACCCGATTTATCTGGTAACATTTAGGAGCTTCTCAGGAAAATCCAAGGAGCAGGGTTAGTGACTGACAGGTACACTGCCCCCTTGGAGCTAGTTACTGTTACTTACCCCAGCTCAAGAGAAGAGGGCAAGCTGAATTTTACACCAAGAAAAATACCAGAAGTAGCTTATGTAGCACAGTACAGAAATCAATTCTGCAGGCCAACATAGCTTGAAACTGCCTCTTAGAACATGGCACTACTCACATAACTGCTCCACACACACGAGGGTGACGACTCATCCCCAGGTAATCATTGCTGCACCAGACAGACACCTCTTTCTTGGTGATCAGAGAATCGGTGTAGTCATCTGCCATGGGAAAGATCTGTGCCTTTCGGTTCACTGTTTTGAACACTCGGTAGGTGTGATCCTTCTTCTTTTCATCTATCTTTTTCTCAAAGAACTGATCATATTGGAAGGTGGAGATGGCTGAAATAAGACAAGAGACTTAAGCACACAGGAAGTAATCACAGAAGACCAGGCCAGGGGGGGTTTTGCTAGACAATCTTACATTTTGGCAAGTTATCCTGAAGCAGATGAGACACACTTTCTGGTCTTTGCTTCAGCACAATATCCTTGAACTTCTTGAGCAAGCCACTCTGCTCTTCTCCTTCAGTCTCAGTGTTCCTCACTGTGGAAGCAGTTGGTATTTTGGCAAATTCTGTACCTACATACATTATAATAAGTTCTGGTGAGCTTAATGAGCTTGAAACAAAGTGAAGGGAGTTCAGCAAACATTTTAAGTAACTCTTGATTTCTTTAGGAAGCATGTGCCTGAATCCACATGCCCCTCTTTGGATCAACTATTTTATTTGCTTACAGTTTTGCATTATACAGGGCAAAAGGAAAGCTTTGCTGATCAATGATGACAACACAAAATGCAATTTCCTTGTATTGAACCAACACCCTTGGTTCATCATGACTCGGAAAACCACTTCATACAGCTACAGCATTTATCTGAAAGAGTTGGTATACAACTAACCAAGGGCACCGTTCTAATCAGCTGCTTCCTTTTTTGTTCCTAGTATTCAGTTAGCACACATTTTTTAAAACTATGTCACAGAAAACAAACAGAAAAGTAAAATAAGCTTCCTGAGACAGATGGCAAGGCTTTACAGATATGGGTGAGAAGTTCCTTCCTTTGAAGGACAGCAAGCCAGCCAACACCCTTTAGTTCCATAAACAAGACACCCCAACCCATCTACTTGCTTTTCAGCTTGGATTTGTGCTGGTGCTTGCCTAGTACCTTGACCCAGTTTCTTCTATCTCTGGATACACTACCTTTGTCTATACCAGCACCCTGGTAAAGCTCTCTTCAGTTCTAAGCATCTGCTTTGGGTGAATGATTCTGCTTCTATTAGGCTATAACCCAAGATTGTAAATTTCAAAGCCATGAGCTCTGGGTGCAAGAGTAACAGTTAGATTCACACATTTAGAGCCGACACATCAAAATGCAGCATATGGTACTCCCGCATCAAAACCACCCAGGGAAACACTGCACAATGCTGCAGGTATGACATTAACACCTACATTTTTCCAACAGCTTTTCACTGCAGCCTCCCATAATCCTACCTGCATAATTTAAGTGGCTACTGTCAGACTTGGCACACTCCAGAGTAAAGTCAGGCACCAAAACCTCTCAAGGACCCAATGCTTCAGTGCACAGAACACATACCTTTCCTGTCCATCTGCATGTCCTGCACATCCTCTTGGAGCTCTAGGCTGGCTTTGCAGAAAACATTACTGTTCTTGTGATTCATCTGAGCTGCCAGGAATGGGCATTTTGTAGCAGAGCCCTGGCTAGCACCAGCAGCGGGGTGGCCAGTGGGTGGCTGGGCTCCATCTGTGTTCTGCTGGGCCACTTCTTTGGCATTTTTGGCCTCTGAGGTGGGATGGAAAAGAGGAGGCACTTTAGCATCAGCATTTTATTACACTGACTTCAGCTTTTTTACCAATTACCTTTGTAATTAACTTGGCACAAACCATTCAGAACTACTTAACCAAGCAAATAATTTTATTTATACAAGCACAGAATCCCAGTAACACCTGAGGGCACCTGAGTGAAGATGCCAGATGTAACACTGTACCCTTTGAGGGGAAAAAATCCTCTCTCCTTCCTTCCCCAAAGGAAGACCTTCTTTTGAGGAATTCAGCCATTTTCAGCCACCAGCCCTTCCTCTGCTGCAAGCCTCCGTTTCTTCCGAGTGCTAGAGTAAGAATCCCACAAGGAATGTTACCGGGTGGGCTAAAGAGCTGCTTGAGCATTAAGAAACCCCAGCTCGGTGATCCAGGATCACAGATCCCTAACCACAACTCACCATAGGGCATACTAACGGGCCAGTCTTTGATTTATACTATGTCCATGCTTAATTATCACAGTCATTTAAAGGATTAACTAACTCTTATCCCGAAGCTGCTCATTCCAGAAGCTTCCTTCTACGACACTGTCTATATTTATTTTGCCTGAAAGGTGACTACTGTGTCCCCTGGGGAGCTCCCTGCTACAGCTACCGTGACCTGCCCAGTGACCCGCTGCCCTCCCTGAGGAGAGGCCCGGCTCCCGGCGCTGCTCTCCTCCCTCCCGGGGCCATACTCACCCCGGCGGGCTGCGGGGGTCTCCTCCTCCGCCTGCTGCCCGCGGGCGGCGGACGTGGCCAGGGCGCGGGGGGCCGCCTCCATCATGCGGGGGCAGTGCTGTGCGTACAGGAGCAGGGAGGGCCCGGCCTTCTGCAAGAAGGCCTGAGAGACGCGGGCCAGGAACGGGCAGCGCCGCACCACCGCCTCCATCGCAGCCGCTGGAAGGGACACCGGACGTGACGTCAGGACCGCCGCTGGCCGCTATCGGTAAGCCACGCACCGAGCCCGGTAACCGCTCCGCGGCACGGCCCCCTCCGCCGCTGCTTATATAGCCCCGGCCGGCGCGGCGCATGCGCATTGCCGCGGCCTCGGCGCCGCACAGCGCAGGCGCGTGACGGAGCGCGAGGGACGGCAGGTTCGGGGGCGTTTCGGGAGGTGCTGGGGGTGGCTCTGGGCGTCTCTAGGGGTGTCTTGAGGAGACAGAGGGGCTTTGGGCGTCCCTTGGGGTGCCGGGAGGAGACAGAGGGGCTCTGGGCGTCTCTAGGGGTGTCTTGAGGAGACAGAGGGGCTTTGGGCGTCCCTTGGGGTGCCGGGAGGAGACAGAGGGGCTCTGGGCGTCCTTTGGGGTGCCGTGAGGAGACAGAGGGGTTTTGGGCGTCCCTTGGGGTGCCCTGAGGCGACAGAGGGGCTTTGGGCGTTCTTTGGGGTGCCGTGAGGAGACAGAGGGGCTTTGGGCGTCCCTTGGGGTGCCGGGAGGAGACAGAGGGGCTTTGGCCGTCCCTTGGGGTGCCGGGAGAAGACAGAGTTGCTCTAGGCGTCCCTTGGGGTGCCCTGAGGCGACAGAGGGGCTTTGGGCGTCCCTTGGGGTGCCCTGAGGCGACAGAGGGGCTTTGGGCGTCCCTTGGGGTGTCCTGAGGAGACAGAGGGGCTTTGGGCGTCCCTTGGGGTGCCCTGAGGAGACAGAGGGGCTTTGGGCGTCCCTTGGGGTGCCCTGAGGAGACAGGGGGGTTTTGGGCGTCCTTTGGGGTGCCCTGAGGAGACAGGGGGGTTTTGGGCGTCCCTTGGGGTGCCGGGAGGAGACAGAGGGGCTCTGGGCGTCCTTTGGGGTGCCGGGAGGAGACAGAGGGGCTCTGGACGTCCCTTGGGGTGCCGTGAGGAGACAGAGGGGCTCTGGGCGTCCCTTGGGGTGCCGGGAGGAGACAGAGGGGCTCTGGGCGTCCCTTGGGGTGCCGTGAGGAGACAGAGGGGCTTTGGGCGTCCCTTGGGGTGCCGTGAGGAGACAGAGGGGCTTTGGGCGTCCCTTGGGGTGCCGGGAGGAGACAGAGGGGCTTTGGACGGCTTCCGGGCAGATTTGAGGAGATAAGAGGGGTCCGAGTAGCTGCTGTGCATAGAGGGGCAGCCAGCCTAGGGTGTGAGGCGATATCCTACAATGGGGGCATAGCCCACATGGGAAGAAGAGGCAGTAGTTTTCCAGCTCTGGGTTTCCCCTTTGCCGCAGGTAATGCAATACTGGAGTCCCTTACCCCCAGGATAGTAGGTTTTGGGGGGCCCTGGTGTGTCTGTTCATAGGAAAAGGACAAAGCTCTGAGTCAGCTGCGTTGGGAAACCCAGTGCTGCTCAAACACATCTTGCGTATTTTCCTCCTAAACACGCACCTCTGACTCCCTGTAGAGTCTGCACAGGGGCTCAGAAAGCAGCAGCTGGTCTCACTGGGGGTGCTGGGGTCCTGAACTTTGCCTACAGCTGGTATGAACATAGCAGTTTCTCTGTTGGTGATGCTAAGGCTTTCACCACTGCACGTCTGAAGCGTGGTGCCATTGCCTGAGTTTTGAAGATAAGCAAGACTCCTGTGTGAAGACCAGCAGCAAGTAAAATTGTATCCTGCATCCTGTGTCTTACAATGAACATTGAAGTTAATTTGTTTAAACGAATATTTGTAGGTGGGTTACGATAAAAGGAGCTCTTTATGAACGTGGCTATCCGAGATGCAGGAGTACTAATTCCTGTAAGTGTATACTGTCTGAAAGAAAGAGGAAGAAAGCTGACAGTGTGTTCTTTTCCTCAGCTTGTGAAACAGTTTCACAGCAGACAGGATTTGGCAGAGTACTGCCTCTCAGCCTTGCATCCCTCAGCCAGCTGAGAGCCTGCTTGGGCACTTTGAGGCAAGAGTGGTTTTTGTAGCAGGTACAGAGTTTTGAGGAGAGCTCTTTTAAAGCTCACTCTTACTTGACTCATGTCTTGCATGTAGTCACAATATGTAGTTACTAGAAGGTGCTCACTGGTAGAGTGAGTGGGGACACTAGCAGGAAGTTTGCCTGACCCTCCTTTCTTCAGCACTCACTTTGAGGATGCTGTTTGCCTTATGTAAACTTTGGGATCTGAGTAGCTCAAGAGGAGGCAGTCTTAAACCAGAGCCTAATGGCGGACTTGCGGTCAACTCCAGAGCGTTACTAAGCTCTGAGGTAGGAAACGGGACAGAGTTCTGCCCTCATGTACTCCTCATGGGGCCCTGAAAAACTAGAGCTTTACAAGGCAGGGTGTGGGATTTGGGGTTTAGTAGGGCTAGACGGTTTTTTAAACACAGTTTGCTTCCTGCTTACTAGGAATTTAAGACAGCACTGTTTAAGAAGTCTTGATGCTTAGATCTTAAGCAATTCAACTCATTCCAGCAACGTAATGCTGAAGTCACCATTAAGAAACAGCCTTTCATCTGTGGATGTCATTACATATAGAATCACAGACTGGTTTGGTTTGGAAGGTATTGTAAGGATCATCTAGTTCCAAGCCCCTGTCACGGGCAGGGACACCTTCCACTAAGTTTCGTTTTTTCTGTAGATAAATGATTAAAATAAGGCTGTGATATTTGCCCTGAGCCTGTAGAACAGTTAGGCTAGGAAGAGTCTTGGTCATTTGACAACACCAGGGTAGTGCTTCAAATTATTGGTTCAGTTTGCTCCTGAAAAGTGCTGGTTTTACCACTGGCTTTCAGTTAGTTACATGCCTTAAGTATTTACATACTTACATAATAGTTAATTAGCACTTGAAGTTAAAAAATGTGTGATGTTTCAGGTTACTGCTGTCCCTCTCCCCCTGACTATCAGCATTTGACTCCCTACTCTGAAGCTTTGTATCACATCAGTTACTTCAAAAAATGAGGAAACACTGTGACATTCTACCATGTAGGTACCTGACAAGTGTCCTTAGAGCAGAGAGTTAATGTGTTTGAACCTAAGGGATCCCTCCAGTGCTGATTAATCTCAGTTTTAACAACATAAGTCCCATATGTTTGATTTATAGTATGTTGATAGTATTTTTTTCCTTCTCCTTCTGCTATTAATTGACCATGGTACTTAACTGGAGAGGGGCAGAGGGAATATGTGTTTTGTGGCAAGAGGCACCAAAGCTGTTGTACTCTGCGAGCATTATTTGCACTGCAAGAGGCTGCAGAGCTTATCTGCATCAACACCTGCCACAGCAGGTTCCATCCCACAAAAATCTGATAATCCTTCTTTATCCTGATAACATTAGCTTTTCACCACATCGCAAGGTTGAGGGATGAAGTACATTAGTCTGCTCTGGTGCTGGAGTTCAGAAACTCCCTTGTTTTGTATTTAGAAGTGCATGTGGAGTCTGAAGCCTGAGGAGCATCTGCTTTCTACGCAAACATCATTCAAGGTTGGCAGCTGAGACACAGCAACCTTGGCTACGATAAGGAGGTCTCCAGGTGGAGCACAACTCTCAACTTTCCTGTCAGACTTCTCTACAATCTGTGCTATCAATCGGACACTGCAGTAACGCTTCTTCAGAGTTTGATTTGGGTGAATTTATTTAACCTTGTACATGACAGGAATTGCGCAGAGCTAAAGAGCAAGGGAGTGACGTTAACTTGACCCTCATCTTGGAATGCTGCTGGAGGAACATGTCCTTGTCAGTGCACTGAGATAGCTCAGGGACCAACAGAGTGGAGGAGAAGTCAGGGAAAAGGGTGTCTTGTCTGCTCTGCCATTTTCTTCCCTTTGGAAATCTTGCCAGAGTTTACATGCTGAAGATGAAGTAAATACTAATAAAGCTGCCATTAATTAAAATGTATTAGGGCTTCAGTGGGTTAATTAAATGGTATTTAAGGATGTTAATTGTGGCAATGTATTACCATCATCCAGCAGGGCTCAGGAGAAAGTAGCCTGAAGTGCCATGCAACTGTCATTTGCCACACTGCAGAAGGAGGACTTCAGACTACGACAAGGGATAGCACACTTCCAGCCCAAGGGGGAAGAGAGAGCCTGTCCTGAGAGAGAGCAGGCTTGCCTTGTCTGGAGAGAGATGGCAGCTACAGTGGGCAAGGGAGAAGTAATGACTGCCTAGGAATATGTTAAAGGCAGAGTAGCATGTAGTAAAGAAGGTACAAGCTGAGGGGATAGCATTGGTGTGAAAACTCAGCTGGCTCACCCAAATTTACCTTGGATGTCACTGTGTTTTGGAGCAGTCTTTGGAGACTGGTACCTGAGATGTTGCGCGCCAGTTAGATTCAGCAGAGGAAGCTTTAGCGGGCTGAAAGGCCTGTGTGTTGCAGTGGCAAGGGAAGGGAAGAGTCAACTAGCCTGGGAGCCTCTGCTGACTTTAGTTTTCTAAATCCCATTCTGTTCTGATGATTTGTCCAAGTCTTTGCTAAGTAAGTTGCAAGAGGGAAAAAAAAAAGCTTACATTCCAGCCATGTGGGAGGTGGATGAGAAGCCATATGAAGTGCCATATAGAAATTGAAATGGAGGGGAAAAAAATCCCCTGTGACAGGGTCACATTGGTTTCTGCAGATGTCTGTGAAGGGTTGCTGGTGAAGATATTCTCTTTCCATTTTACCAGTTCACCATACGGGCTCAGGTGTAAGTTACCTTCAGTGCTTCCTTCCCTCTTATCCCCTTCTCTCAAGCATGTTTTGCCCAGTATTCCTTGAAATAGAACTTGATTCACAGGTTTGTAGTCTTTATCTAGCCTCATGCCATCAGCAGTTAGCTCCTTTCATGGAATTTTAATGAATTGTATGCTTTTAAGACAGCATTTTCTACTGTATATATCTATACCATTAGCAATATTTAGTCCCTTTTGCCCACTTCTGAAGTCAGAACTGCACATATTTTCCCCCACACAGTCAATGTTATGAGAGGGCGAGCCAGAAAAAGAGTTCCCCCTCCCCAGGCACAAGCCATTGTCTATATTGAGATCTGAATTTTCCAAGGGAGTGGATGCGATCCTGACATCTGGATTTAATCCAAACTCAAATTCCAGGCTTAGATCTGAGAACTTCCACCTCCGGTCTTCTTAGAGAGAACTTAGTTTACCTTTTAAGGCAAAATTCAAGGGTTGTGATAGTAGCTGCATAGTGAGAATTCTTCCCATGCTGAATTTCTTTAGCAGATTTTCCTCATTTGTACCCAATGTTGTCTTTACATGACAGAACAGGAAATCTCCTTTCTTTGCAGGACCCTCTAATCGACACAGTTGACCAAGCTGGGAGAGCTGCTGAATGCTGAGGCATATGTGACCTGTTGCAGAGTGACCGAGCAGAGTGACCGAGCAACTCCCCTCTGCCACGGATTCATGCCAGGCAAGCTTCTCACCCATCTCATACAAACAACCACTGAGCTGTTTCTCTCCCCAGTGAAATGGATATCTTTTCAAATCCAAGACCTGCTGACAGGTCCCCACAAGGGTGTTTGGTCAGGACACTTTTGCCTATCTGCAAGGCCTCAGGTGCTGCCCATTGATGCAGGGGAATTTGGTCTCTTGGCAAAGTCTCATTACAGGGGGATGACTCATGCTTAGTCGGGACAGTAGAAGCTGTTGCCACCCTCATACAAGGTACCCTGCCTTTCTGCTGAAAGGCACCACTCCCACACTGGGGCTGCTGTGGTCTTACAGCCCTTCTGATTAACACATCCAGCAGTGGTTTATCTTAATTCCAGAATATCTCCCTGACATCCTTCCAGTTGCTTCAGATGTGGAATATCACACAATAGTCTTTTTTTCATTTTGCATCTTCGAGTTTGTTTTGCTTTGTGTAGCACGTGGCAGGGAATGATACACAGATCCTTCCAGCTACTGTGAGCTTTGCTGCATTTGCAGTGATTTGCATTCACACCCTTGTTTGCTCCTCTCTCACATGGTTCTCCTCCTCCTCTTACAAAGAATCAGTGGACTCCAGCCAGTGTATTTTTAGTTAGGATTATTGCTGGGCTTCAGATTGTCATTTTGCTTGCATATGTCAGCCTTCATTTCTCCTCATTACCTACTCACACAAAGACACCATCTTCTATGTCCAGTTTTGGAGCTTAAACTCTCTACAGTCCGCAGAGAGCAGAATTACCTTAGAAAAAGTAAATCTGAGCACTTCCTATATGAAGGTGAGAGAGGGTGGGAAAAGGACATAGCTCTGGTCAAAGCTTTCTGTAGCTCTCTGTAAACTGGAGTTGCCAGAGAGGAATGAAATAGATAGCCTGCTCCTCTCTATATAGGAAAGGCAGCTGACAGAGGAGAGAAAGAAGTGGGTGTCTCTTCTTCATCTGAATGTAAATGTTCCAGGCCCAGACAGTGATGCTTAACACTATATATACTCATGCATATAGTAAAGCATCTTTGCTACACAAGGTAGCTGTAGTGAGCACTCACTGCTGCATTATTGACGGTGTTGGCAGGAAGGTGGAAGTCAGAGCAGAGGCAGGATTGTAAAAGTCCTTGAAAACAAGAAATTCCACAGGAGTGAAAAATGCTGTGCTGGAGCCTATGGGCTCCTCTGGGCTTTTAAAGCTATGTCCATGTTAGGCTTTTTATGTCAAGCAGAAATTCAGGGCACACCTTGTTCTCTTACACTGTAAAAATGTTCTGGTTTTTGTGGAGGTAATTTTCTTCAGAGGTGCTTGTATGGGGCTGTTGTGGATCTGGGATGAAAACAGTGTTGATAACACAGGGATGCTTTAGTCATTGCTGACCAGTGCTTTCATAGCTTCTTTGTTGTGTGTGGTGTGTCCCTTTTTTTATTTTTTATTTTATTTTTTAATGATTAAACCATCTTTATCTCAAGCCACAAGTTTTCTCACCTTTACCCTTCTGATCCTTTCTCCTATCCTACTGGGGTGGAGGGACAGAGTGGCTCTGTGGGGATTAGCTGCCTACTGGGTTAAACCATGACAAAAAAATCATCTCTCTGACTTGTGTACCTGTCCACGGGCCCATCACACACACTGTACAAGGCAGCAGCATATTCAAGTGCTCTCACTCCTCCCCAGTCACCACAGACTCAATTTGACACAATAAGTTAAATCCCTAAATTGATGTATTTTGTTTGTCAAATGGACATTCCCTCACTAAACAGGTGAATTGGTATTCCCTGCAGATGCACATGCTACCTTTCTTTTTCCAAGTGTAGAATGCAAGTAAGATTTCCTTTTCAGCCAGGAAATAGGGATAAAGGCATCCTGTGAAGTCCTAATAGTTTCTGATCTATTTTGGGCAGGTGAAAATGATGGGATTTCAAAAGGCTGTCGCCTTAAAATGTCTGTCATAGGTACAGTACTGCTACAAGCAAAGCTGGTTGTTCTGGTTTGTTTCATCAAAGGATTATTCTCTTATGCATCTGGTGTTTCAATTTCCTCTGCAAGGACTGATATTTCAGTGAAGTAAGGAGAAGCAGAAGCATTTCAGAATGAAATACCTGCTGATGACATAAGAAGGTGGGGGAAAATCCCCTTCCTGACTAGACCTAAGCTGGGAGTTCCTGTGTGGGTGTTATCCCATGAGCGAGTACCCAGTGAGGCAACAGAACTCTTCGCTTACCTGGGTGGCTTTTCTTCATATCCAGCTATTCCATAGCATTAGATATTGCTGCTCTTGAGACTTTAAGGACGGCCTTGGAGAAAACAAGCAATAGGAGGAAGCGTAAAGCAGTTTTCATCTTTTATTGTTTCCATCAATGGTCAGGGAAACTGTAGTTAAAGAAGTAGTTGTTATAGTTAATATTATGCTGCTATAGTTGTGCAGTCAGTTAGAATTACATCCTTGAAAGAAATAATCCAAAGGGTTGAGAGGGAAGTGGCCAAGCAGTAGAGAGAGGAAGGATGCCTCACGCTGCAAGTGGAGATGTTCCAGGCATGAAAATAGCAGGAAAGCATGTGGTAACAGGGGGTATGAAACATCACAGAGCCAAACCCACTCCTGTGAGTGGGAGAAGGGCCTGTGTAACACCACAGCCTGCGTGGCACAGCAGAAAGCTGGAAGGATGAGCTACAGCTCTTTGGTGTTCAAGGAGCAACTTCCTCTGCCCATCTTTCCATTTGGTGTGTTCTGCCCATGGGGGTTGCTGTGCTATTTTGCAATAGTTGTTGTTGCTTAACCTTTGAGGTGCAAGATGTATTATTCCTGCCCATGCTTTAAAGATTATAGATAAAGTTAGAGGCTGGTGATAAGCTATTTAAAGTAAGAGTGTCAGTAATAAGGAAGAAGGGGCCAGTGCTGAAACACCGAGGGAGGAAATTAGCACATTGTATCTCCAAATCTGAACTTGGGAGCTGCAGCCCAGAGAAACTTTGTGACATATTAAGGTTATTGGAGTGTACAAGGCTTCCGTTCCCTGTTTGCCTTTGTACTGAACTCTTCGAAAACCTGGCAAGGGCTCTGTTTGCTCTGTCTTACAAACAGCCCAAGTCACGCAAAGCTCTGGGCTGTACTTGCAAGGCTCCTGGGCCACTCTGCTTGCCAAGCAGCACAGGTGGTACCAGGAGGAGAACTAGTGAGGATCAGGCCAGGCAGCTGGGATGCGAGGTTTCTTGGGGTGCTGGCAGCCTTTTCTGCATGTAGTTTATTTGACCTTACTGGCAGCCTTTTCTGCATGTAGTTTATTTGATCTGATGGCTCTGCAGCTGCTTTGAACACCATTCCAGCTGAGATCCTCGGGGTTAGAGAGGGCTCAAAAGAGGAAGTTGTGTCTGACTTGGTGTGCTGAGCAGACCTAGTCTTGTCAGGGGCTGTATTGGGGTGATGGCAATGGTTAGAAAATGTGTTGCTCTCGTACCACTAGGAAACGTAAAGAACCTGGAGT